TCACGGCGAGCCGGGATATTAGCTCTGCCCCTTGGTAAATACGTCGGTGTCTCGACGATTTCTTTTTCCCCCCTTTCTAAAACTCCGAAAGGATAAAAAAATCGACAACATTAATACTAAAAAAAGGCGATTGAAAAATTAAGGCGATGTGAAAGTGGCCACGTAGAGGTCTCGTTTATGAAACTTTTCCCTGAATTTGGTGTATCGAATCCTTTCAAAATATTCAACGTTAACCCTCTATGGGCCCGTGTAACTTTCAGGTCACATTTTAAATGAAAAATTTTTTTTTCATTTGCATATATGTGCCCATAATTATGAAAGTGGTCTAAGTCAAAATTAAAAAAAAAATGAGTTTATCAGTTATTTCACGCCATATTATTTCAAACGAAATTAATTCAATGTAATTTCGAAACAAAAAATATACGACTTAGACCACTTTCATAATTATGGGCACATATATAGGTTCCTAATTGCTGATTTTTCGTTCCCCCAATTTTTTTTTATTTAAAACAAAAATTCGGCCCATAGAGGGTTAATATGGAGGCTGTAAGGAAGGTCCTGACACTCATGAAATTTTTTTTATTGCTTAAAAATTTCTTGATAGGCATTTCAAATTATGGGTGTCGGGACCTTCCTTATAGCTTCCATATTCACGTAGTAAATTTTGAAATGATTTGGTACACCCAGTTCGTAGAAAAGTTTCGTGAATAATTAACTCCTCGGATGCCACTTTCCCACCCCCTTAATGATTCCCTCTGTAAAATCTAGTGCCTTCAAAACAAGGGATGATTTTTCAATATCTAATTCTATAATATTAAGGCGATGTTTACGAGACCATCAATCATGTCTCTCATCGATCGATGTTTATAATCGAAGAAAAGTATCATAAGGCGAGACTCCTCATCTGTCCATTTGACATCACCTTAAAGATAACAATTTCAGTCCTCTAGAAACATGAAAAAGGATATTACAATACCAATTGCCCCAAACTCCCGATATTAACCCCGAAAACATAACAATTATATATTACTAATTATATATACAATTATATAACAAAACGGAAGAATTATCATTGAACGTAACAGAAATTAATTTCATACCAGGTGAAAATATGAAATAAACATTTTTCCCTTTCCCATCCGAATCAAGGATTACCCGGTTTGATTTCTTGAAAATAAATGTTAAATCTTTAGGAAGACGTTTTGAGGTTTCGGAGAGGCGAGAGCATCTTCGGCTGATCCTCGATGACTGCGTGCAATCGGTGCAATCGATGTAATCGATGTAATCGATGCTACCGCGAGTCACTTAGAGGTGGGTGTTACCGATAAGTCCGATAACCGTGGGTAATCGAGGTTTAGCACGACGCGGCCGTCGTAACGATCGATCGATCGAGCAGTAAAACGTTCGTAACGATTGATGACGCCCGTTAAACGTAACAGGGCACGTGACTAGCATGACACGCGTACGGCCTAATCCCGATGGAAATTAACCAGCGATTTACTCCCTGACACGGCCGATTAACCGGCTCGATTCCGCAGGATTAAGCGTTGGTGTCCTGGGGAGGTATTTTTTACAGGATTTTTTTCCGGGAATAAAAAAGATCCGAGGAAAAAAATGGAGAAACGGAAGGGATGAGCCGATGAGCCGACAGGGTGCAGAAGGTCCTACGAATCGACGTCCACCGAAATCGCGGGATTTTCTCGAGTTATCCACCCCTGCTCATCCCCAAAGCGGATTACCCTGGTTAAGGTGAAGTGAAACACGTCGATTAACTTGATCAACGTCGATAAAGAAGATTTTTCTAAATGCCTACGTTGCCGACGTTGGTTTTTATATTGATAGCTGGGTCGAATTATATTGTGTATTGTACCAAATGGCATACTCCACCTGTCGTTTTCGTACGATAATTATCAAGAAATCGAAGTAAAACTCCAGAAATCCTCTGGATTCATACTTTCTGGGGCCCTAATTGACTGCGGAGGGACCCCCTGCGCCATCTGTGATTTCCAGGTCAATTAAATTTTCACTCCGAGACCTCGTATTGCCATCGTTTTAGCATAGAAGCGTATACAACACTTTTTTTGCCCTTATCCCGTTCAAATGCGAGTTTATCGATTACCAGAGTGTTCTAAATTGTCGTAAAATTGTCCTGACCCTTTCGATTCTCATATCAGAGCCTTCGATAATTGTATACTGATCGAGATATGAGAGCTCGACGTCATTTTGGTTCTGGTCTGGAATGAGTTAAAAATTTTGTTGAAAAATCCAAATTTTCAATGTGTCAGGACAATTCTTAGATGATCAGGAGTGACGTGTCAAAGTTTCGGACAGTTTGGTCTAATACCCTTAAAAAAAAGTGTTGTATTCGAATCGACTGATTTGAAGGGTGTTTCACTTCACCTTAACACCGGAAGTGAGGGCTTGATTGAGATCCAAGGAGATTGCAGTCCGGAAGATGCATCCGTGTTTACGTATACGTTACGGTGAATGACCGAAATCTGGAGAATGTCGACTTTCACCGGTGAATGTCAACATTCACACACTCGCTTCGTGTATGTCCGAAATATTTGCCAAACACCCTTATTTCTGACTTATACCGGTATCTGTTGACATTCACCGGTGAAAGTCGACATTCTCCAATTTCGGTCATTCACCGTAACATATATAAGCAATGATAGAAAAAGGCTCGGAAGAGGTCTTCTCACTTTTAGGGATCTCTTCTCGAAATCCGTCGGCGGGTCAAACATAACTCAGGATTTCCCGTGCAATGTGTCGGATCGCGTGCGTAAACACGGGAGAAACGCAGGGAACGAGAGATACGATAATGTATGCAATTGGATCCTCCGACTGGGGCGCACAGGTGCACGCAGGTGCATCCGTTGCATCTCGCACCGCCCACGCTCGAATTGGCATTACACCCGGATAAACCGCAAATTTCTTAAATTTTAGTTTAATTCTTCCAAATGCATAATTCCAATCGCCGTTGCATCTCGCAACGCCCACGCTCGAATTGGCATTACACCTGGATAAACCGCAAATTTCTTAAATTTTAGTTTAATTCTTCCAAATGCATAATTCCAATCGCCGTTGCATCTCGCAACGCCCACGTTCGAATTGGCATTACACCTGGATAAACCGAAAATTATTTAAATTTTAGTTTAATTCTTCCAAATACATAATTCCAATCGCCGTTGCATCTCGCAACGCCCACGTTCGAATTGGCATTACACCTGGATAAACCGAAAATTTCTTAAATTTTAGTTTAATTCTTCCAAATGCATAATTCCAATCGCCGTTGCATCTCGACCTGGATAAACCGAAAATTTCTTAAATTTTAGTTTAATTCTTCCAAATGCATAATTCCAATCGCCGTGTTCGATTAATTCGGCAATGATAAAAGGGAATATGGATATAAGGCATTTTGAGCGGCCACCTGTAAATTCCCACTCCTGACTTACCCACGACAATCACCGGGGCATTACGTCGATGCAATCAGGGTGCATTGTGCGCCGGCTCTAAGTATTCCGAATTCCTCGTTCATACGCAAATGCAGCTCGATAACGCCAGATCGTGGCCGGAAATGCGCCGAATCGGGCTACTTTCGGACTTGTTGCAGAATCTCCAGGGAGAGTGCAGTAAATAGAATTGTATGAATGTGCAATTAAATTGAGACTTTTTAGGACTTAAGGTGAAGTGAAACACGTCGAGGAACTTGATCGACGTCGGTAAAGAAGATTTTTCTAAATGCATACGTTGCCGACGTTGGTTTTTATATTGACAGCTGGGTCGAATTATATTGGGTATTGTTCCGAATGGCATACTCCATCTGTCGTTGTCGTACAATAATTATAAAGAAATCGAAGTAAAACTCCAGAAATCCTCTGGATTCGTGCTTTCTGGGGCCCTAATTGACTGCAGAGGGACCCCCTGCGCCATCTGTGATTTCCAGGTCAATTAAATTTTCACTCCAAGACCTCGTATTACCATCGTTTTAGCATAGAAGCGCATACAACACTTTTTTTGCCTTCATCCCGTTCAAATGCGAGTTTATCGACTACCAGAGTGTTCTAAATTGTCGTAAAATTGTCCTGACCCTTTCGATTCTCATATCAGAGCCTTCGATAATTTTATATTGATCGAAATATGAGAGCTCGACACCATTTTGGTTCTGGTCTGGGCTGAGTTGAAAAACTTTTTTGAAAAATCCAAATTTTGAATGTGTCAGGACAATTCTTAGATGATCAGGAGTGATGTGTCAAAATTTCGGACAGTTTGGTCTACTGCCCTTAAAAAAAAGTGTTGTATTCGAATCGACTGATTTGAAAGGGGTTTCACTTCACCTTAATAAAGATTCATGATTTTTGCAGCTAGTCGCAAATCATTCTGGAAGTGGAGGAAGTATTGTATAGGAGGTCCTTGCAATAGTTGTACAAAGTTCTCGGTACAAACAACTGACCAGGTGACCTAACACTAACGTTATCCAAAAAAAGGATTAAACGATCAAGGTCCTGCACTTCCTGAAAACACTCTCAGCTGAAGAGGTCCTTGCAACATTAATTCTTAAGACAAATTTAATCCATCGATCCCATCCAAAAAAGGATTAAACGTTCAAAGTCCCGCACGTCCTGAAAACGTTCCCAGTTCAAGAGGTCCTTACAGCAATTACGCAAAGTCCTGGATAAACCCGGTCACCAGGTAACCGTCCTACCCTCGTGGTCCTTGCAACATTAATTCTTAGGACAAATTTAATCCATCGATCCCATCCAAAAAAGGATTAAACATTTAAAGTCCCGCACGTCCTGAAAACGTTCCCATTTCAAGAGATCCTTGCAGCAATTACGCAAAGTCCTGGATAAACCCGGTCACCAGGTGACCGTCCGACCCTCGTGTCCAATGTCCAGGTGAAAACGGCGAGTCCTCCAGGACCCTCGGACCCAACAATGGAGGCGAAGTTGGAAGGAGCCCGGCAGCACAATGTCCGAAGTGTAAATAGTACTTACCTTCTGATAGTTCGAGGCAAGCAGCAAGTACTTCCGGTCGGGGGATAGCTGGTGCTCGAAGCTCGAGGCGAGGGCCTGAAAGCAGAGGAGAAAAGAAAGGGGAAATTACTTAACGATGCACGCCCGGCGGATTTGCGCGGGGCACACTTCACGAAGTGCCCCCCCCTCCAAGGATTTCGTCAGGGCAAAGAGCTTGAAAAATTGAATGCACTTCCCGAGTCCCCCCGTGCCCTTCTTTTTCCCACGGGCTTAGGATTTTCCCTCCCGACATCCGGAGGGAAATATTATCGCGCCGGGAAATCCGCGAACGCGTAAATTAAATGTCCCGGACATAATTTGCAGGCCGGCGATGAACTCGGAGAGCCAACGGCCGAGCAAATATTAGACCCCTCGGGGAAGGGAATCCTATTTTTTTTATGTATATATATTTTTTTTTTTTCGAATTCGGACACCGACGTCCTCGATATCCCGCCCCGAGCTGTCTATTCATCAATTACTCCAGCCGACCGCTGCTGCTTTTTCCAAAATTGAGGACCCCTCTATACTTCCCAATTTTACGCTGGTGATGCATCGGCGCTTTTCCGAGGTACCCCGACGTCACGATATTTTCCCTATTTCTAATATCCAAACCATGCCATCCGACTCGAAAAAGTAACTAATAAACACCCCGTCAGTTTTTCAAGGTTCAATTAATTTAACGCAATGACTCATGTTTTGCACATTTTTCCCACATTTCTTGACACGACATCAAATTAATAGAAATATTGAACATATGAAGCCGATCAATATTTTCCCAAGGAGAAGAAAGAAAAATGTACCAGATCGCCAGTATCGATATTAAACCCGATATATGCAGAAACTTTGATAAATAAAACGGAAGAAAGATAATGCCCATAATTATGAAAGTGGTCTAAGTCATATATTTTTCGTTTCGAAATTACATTGAATTAATTTCGTTTGAAATAATATGGCGTGAAATAACTGATAAACTCATTTTTTTTTTAATTTTGACTTAGACCACTTTCATAATTATGGGCACTGTGCCCATAATTATATTATTTGTTTCGAAATTACATTGAATTAATTTCGTTTGAAATAATATGGCGTGAAATAACTGATAAACTCATTTTCTTTTTAATTTTCACTTAGACCACTTTCATAATTATGGGCACTGTGCCCATAATTATGAAAGTGGTCTGTCATATATTTTTTGTTTCGAAATTACATTGAATTAATTTCGTTTGAAATAATATGGCGTGAAATAACTGATAAACTCATTTTTTTTTTTAATTTTGACTTAGACCACTTTCATAATTATGGGCACAATTATAACAGTGGGTATTCCAAGGTATCTGGGCAGATAACAATGTGTCATTATCTCGTTTCCATACCTCCACTGAAATGTCAGACTACGTAAAAAAAATGGATTTAAATTGCTCTTCTGAGAAAAATAATTGGTCCTCGCAATTATGCATGATTCAGGCGACAATGTATGTGCCATTTTTCTTTCCTCAGGGTGGAGTGAGGAAAAAAATGAAAAATCGGCTATATGGAATTATTTTGAGAGTGTAAGCGTCGACTCGGGACGTCAGAGCGTCACGTCGGGAAATCGACGTCGACCAGCTAGCCCAGTTGGAAACAACGAAACGGTTGTTACGGATCGTTACGGGTCGTTACCGGAGCTCGCGCGATCATCCCGGATAAAGTTGGCTAAACTGTTTCGAGCATGCGGCGACGCAGTCCCCGACTAACTACGATTATTGTTTCAACATCCCAAGTTGTCCCATAAATGTCCCGCCGGTCCCGAAGGGGGCCGATTCCGAGCCAACTTTATCCTCGTCCCGGCAAGTTCGCTACTTTCGCCACTTTCGCCACTTCCCCCAACGGCCGTCTTACCAAAAAGCGAGAACACCATCGAAGACGGCGGAACTCGCCAGTTGGGACGATAAATGCTTCCGAGATAAATGGGAATCTGGATGTCTGGACTTCCAGCGCTCTTCGGGGTCTCTTTCGAATTTTTGAATCTCATTTGGAAGAGTGGTCGAGGTTTTAGAGGTTCAAAAAGAGGATCTTGAATTTCTTGTCGAAGTCTCTTTCGAATTTTTGAATCTCATTTGGAAGAGTGGTCGAGGTTTTAGAGCTTCAAAAAGAGGATCTTGAATTTCATGTCGAAGAGGGAGAGTCTTCAGGGTCTCTTTCGAATTTTTGAATCTCATTTGGAAGAGTAGTCGAGGTTTTAGAGCTTCAAAAAGAGGATCTTGAATTTCATATCGGAGAGGGAAAGTCTTCAGGGTCTCTTTCGAATTTTTGAATCTCATTTGAAAGAGTAGTCGAGACTTTAGAGCTTCAAAAAGAAGATTTTGAATTTCATATCGGAGAGGGAAAGTCTTCAGGGTCTCTTTCGAATTTTTGAATCTCATTTGAAAGAGTGGTCGAGACTTTAGAGCTTCAAAATGAGAATCTTGAATTTCATATCCAAGAGGGAGAGTCTTCGGGGTCTCTTTCGAATTTTTGAATCTCATTTGGAAGAGTGGTCGAGGTTTTAGAGCTTCAAAAAGAGGATCTTGAATTTTATGTCGAAAAGAGGGGGTCGCATCGTCAGGGTGCAACATTATTTTCGTCCCGCGCACTTTTCACTTGCCACCCCTCAAGAACCCCAACAAAATTCGGAGGAGATGGCTCGCATCTCTTCAGGGTTTAATTCGCCCTTGTTTCCCGCCCATTATGGGGAATCTACGTGACGGGGGTTCCGGCTTAAGGGGTGAAAGAGGCCAATTTCCCTCCCGCGTTTTCGCGATCGAAGCGAGTCTAATTCGGTTTGTGGAAACCACCCTCTGTGTTTAAATTCGTTCTGAATCTCACCCCCTGAAGAGCCTCTCCGTTTCGGCACTCGTCCCGCCCCCTCAAAAATAACCACCCCTCCTATAAAAATGTTATTTCGATTATCAACCGATTTTCAAGAGGTTAACAAACGTACAAAAAATTGAGATCTATATTTTTTATGCCCACATTTCCCGAAACAGAAACTCGTCGCTCTACGTACCTTAACGAATGAAAGAAAAGAAAACGATTAAAAATTTTCTGGTATTTTTCAGGGGAGAATCGTGAGGTATTTCATTCCAGGTTCGGATTTCCCTGAAGTGGAGCAATCGTACTTTCCTCACCGGAAGTAGTTTCCGGTACGTCGGGGGTTGATGTTACTCGGTTAGCTGAAAGGTTAAAATAGCAGTTCTCGCAAAAGCACTTTAGGATTATACAACTGCCCTACAGAACGGGCAGATTTGTTACGGAACAAGAAATAAACCTCCCCTGGTCCCGGGAATTATCCAGGATCAACGGGAAGGGTCGAGCGGTGCCTTTTGTGAGTCCTGACAGTCGGAAGATCGTCAAGGGTATTATCCCGCTCGCGCCCCCTCGGAGGGCCTCCATTTTTTTTTTTTTAACACTACGTCTGGTCATACATAAAGGCATATTTTTCCATAAACCCCCCATGGTTACTTACGTTGTTCGTAATTTCCAAGATAGTCCTGTTGGATCCTAGAACGACGTTAAACACCAGCAAGTTCCCACTCTCGTCGCGGTACAGGATCTCGTCATCTGTAAGCAAACGGGACAAATTTCTCAAGTCCAAAGTAGATGAACGTATTAATTTTAGGCGGTTACAACAATACGTATTAATGAATACGAATTAGGAAAAATTTTTTTAAACTTTCCTTCCCAGCGACAAAATTGATCGAACATGTCGCATTACACTCTCGGGATTTTAATGACCCTCGATAACGCGAAAGCAAGGGGTGAAGCGGAAATAAACCGCACGGCATGAGTATCGCGATAAAAAATTTCCGGCAAAATTCAAAAGCGATGGCAGTCCTCAAAAATTCATACGCCCACCCGAGAGGTGCGTTGATCCTCGAATTTTGGGTTTGGTGTTGGCTAAAGTATCGATCACCTATCAGGGATCGTGATAATCGAGCCCCTCATATCGGTTTGTGGTGTCAGTTATGTGGAGCAACATGTGTGGAGCAACGTATGTGGAAATAAACAAAACTTTTCCTCGCGGCTTCATATGGTAAAACATGGGATTAAACATGAACAACCACACGCGCGTCATGAAATGACACACATGGTACACCCCACATGAAAGCATGATGAACGATAAAAGTGGAACCACGCGTTGATCAGTACCCATGAGAACGGCATATCAGAGGCCAAGGTAATCATTAAATTTTCCCGTACTTCGGTCAATTTCAGCGCATCTCATCCTCCTGATAAGATCCCCGTTTCAGGATTAATCCGCGCCTCCTTTTGCGTCTTGAAAGTCTCCCATTAATTAGGAGGTCGATCGATCATGGAGCAACGCATGTGGAAATAAACAAAATTTTTCCTCGCGGCTTCATATGGTAAAACATGGGATTAAACATGAACAACCACACGCGAGCCATGAAATGACACACGTGGTACCCCCACATGAAAGCATGATGAACGATAAAAGTGGAACCACGCGTTTATCAGTACTCCTCACATGAAAGAATGATGAACGATAAAAGTGGAACCACGCGTTTATCAGTACCCCCACATGAAAGCATGATGAACGATAAAAGTGGAACCACGTGTTTATCAGTACCCATGAGAACGGCATATCAGAGGTCAAGGTAATCATTGAATTTTTTCGTACTTCGGTCAATTTCAGCGCATCTCATCCTCCTGATAAGATCCCTGTTTCAGGATTAATCCGCGCCTCCTTTTGCGTCTTGAAAGTCTCCCATTAATTAGGAGGTCGATCAATCATGGCGGCAGAGTGCAAAAGGGGTCCCGTGAAATTTCCGCGATTTAGATCGCGGTACCCATAAATCCGTAAACCCATGGTGGTCTAAGGGAAAAGGGGCACCAACGAGCCCAGAAAAGGGGGACATCCTCGATCCTAAAGGATGCCGCAGATCATCAGCAGACTCTCATTAACATCCATAATGTTCTCCAGGTTCGCCTAAACGACGTCCCCGCTCTGAAAGTCTTTCATCCCGGATGGCCCCGATCGATGTTAACTTATCAGACCCGAAGGAATGGAAAAAATGCGAAACACAAAAAGGGTAAAATGCCAGGGTACGAGAAACAAAGGACGTCTCGGGGCATGAAAGGAAAAAGAATCCAGGGCATGAAAACAAGTAAAAAAGAAACATCTCCAGGCACGAAAAGCAGGAAAGAAATTCCAGGGAATGGAAAGTTAGAAAAAAGTTCCACCCCGAGAAATGGAAAAGGTCCTACAGGACGAAAACGAAAATCCAGGGCAGGAAAAGATAAAAAAAAAAAAGGAAAACCTTCCAGGGTCCTAGAGGACGAAAACAAAACGAATCCCGGACACGGAAACGGAAAAACAATCCCAAGGTACGGGAAATAAAACAATGCAGGACCTGATGAAAAAAAAAAATTCCCACGCGTATAAAATCAAACAATTCGGAGCATAGAATGTAAAAAACAGGGCATGAAAACGAACAGAATGCCAGGACTCCAAAAGGACACGTATCCAGGGTACGGAAATGTAATAAAAAAATCCCAAAGCAGGAAAACCATAAGAATTTTATGGATGCTTCATTTTCCTGGATTATGACTGTTGACGTGAAATTGACTTTAATGATTCTAAACCTAAATTTACTATTGCTTGAAGTTCCTCCCCAGGAAAATTAGCAAGGATCGTCAAGGGGTCCTTCCTAAGGCGCAATTTGCGTGTACAACGAGGCTAACGAGTGGAGGCGCATGAACGGTCGGCTCGGAGTTACCTCAGCGATTAACATGTAACTCGGATCGGGTAAGAAAGGTCGGGAATTCGAAATTAGGTAAATTTCCCCCAAAGTTGCTGACCTCCCTCTTGCAGAATTTCTCCTTTGTACTTGAAATTCCGGACAGTAAGTCGAGTTACCAGTTGGCAGCAAGGAGGGTCTCGTTATTTCAGGAACAATGGATGCGAACCAGGAGGTAAGATCCCAGGACGCACGTGGAAGATGAAGAAAAAGTGTGAAAAATGAGAAAAAATAATTATTAAGGGAAAAAAAAGAAAGAAAATAGGAAAAGAGGGAATAGGATAGCGAAGGAACGGCTGTATATGGGAAACTCGTGAAGCCGATAAATCATCGATCGGATGGCACGATCCGTATCTCCTTTTTCCTCTTTTTTTTCCCTCCATCCCCTACAGCCTCCATTATCCAATAATCCTGCACTTTCATTCGCCGACCATTTGCACTCCAATAATTGCCCCCGTAACTTCCGCGCCCCTTTACGTAGGTCTGCGTTAACAGCATCACGTACCGTAATTTATGCATCCTAAACGCCGTCAAATTTCCCTAAATCTCGGCATTTCTCCCCGTTGCCGAGTAAAAATCGCCGCGGCGCCATTTCCCATTTTCCCAGCTTTTTTCTTTTCCTTCAATTTCTCTCCCCCATTATTGCATGAATTTCATTCCCCGCGGGACATTTTCACTCTGGTAATAATTCCAATATTAATACCAAAAGTCGGAGTGCAATTTCTTTCACCTAAGATACACGAGTAGATCTATTAAAAAAAAAAAAAAAACAATGTTAAACACCCTCAAACTTACACGTGTAATTTTTTTTTTTAAATAGACGTACTCATGTGAACATAAAGCGTACTCGGATATTTATTTTTACTTTATTTATTTTCCGTTATCGAATATTGAAAAAAAAAATCGGGGATTAAATGCAACTCGTGACGGGGAATGTTAATGTAATTCCCGTCCCCGGAATTGTTATTGCGCCCCCCCATTCACGTGGGAAATAATTCTTATGTGTCATTACTCGGCGTGTACACGAGCTCAGGGACATAAAACGTGGAAATATCCGGGTACACGCCATATCGAGCGTGTATCACGTCGGTCGGATGGTGTTTCCCTATATCGAGAGCAGGGATGCCCAGAGGGACCTGTTACCGAAAGATAACAATGAATCCAGCGCCGACAAATATATTCGCCCGGGAGTCCCTGTGTTCCTGTGGGAACCCGCTCCCTATCGGACCATTTGGGCCAGGCTCTGACCCGCCATTGCTAAGCGAATGGGAACAGGGATTCCCGCAGGAAGTTGGAGGAATAAATGCAATTTTTACGGATTTTCGGGGAATGAAACGAAAAATCCGAAGGATTCCAATTTTTTATAAAAAAAAAAAAATAATAATTGCGTTTGGCGTCATCTAAAGTCCAGAAATCATTCGAAAAATAAAACATACCCGGTTATTACTCATTGACGGTATAAACGGAAAATGGAAAATAGAGTGTTAAAGAAATAAAAGAATATATATGTACCCATAATTATGAAAGTGGTCTAAGTCATATATTTTTTGTTTCGAAATAACGTTGAATTAATTTAGTTTGAAATAATGTGGGGTGAAATAACTGATAAACTCATTTTTTTTTTCACTTAGACCACTTTCATAATTATGGGCACATATGTTACCGTGAATGACCGAAATTGGAGAATGTCGACTTTCACCGGTGAATGTCAACAGATACCAAATACGTCGGTGAAAGCTCGAATATTTCATTACATTGTTCGGACCCTCTCCAGTGTGTGTCGACAATCACACACCGGTGTAAGTCAGAAATAAGAGTATTTAGCAAATATTTCGGAGATACACGAAGCGACTATGTGAATGTTGACATTCACCGGTGAAAGTCGACATTCTCCAGATTTCGGTGTTTCACCGTAACATATATATAACTTGAGAAAAATTAATTTGGACCTTCTGAGGAATCATCATATACCGTGTTTGTTAATTTCAGGTTATCCTCGTGAGAGATGTGAGGAACGCGAAGGAAATGTCAACTGGTTTTTCGAAAACAAATGGAAAGATAGAAAAATTGAACGCCTCGGAAAATTCGAATATTTAATTTTAAAAAAGTTGCTTTTGGTCCTCGGGGGGAAACTGTATCAGCCTGTCAGGTTAACGTCATGAAGGGATGAGCTCCCTCGAAATGCATCCCCTAGGATATCACTATCTCTATCTCTTGTTACATTTTCGTGCCAGGAGATAGAAACGTACATCCTGCGTGTGTGTATCCTGTATCCTGCGTAATGGGAAAATTATTCCAGGAGAGCTCTTCGTTAGGTCGGCGCTTGTTAGGTTAGGAAAGAACGGCCCTCCGCCCCCTGGGGGGGGATTCTTGATTTACGGAGGAATTGTATCGTTACCGAATGGCAATTGCGTGTAAAATACGGCGGGCCTCGAGAAATATGGCACAGGTTGGCAGAAAAAAGGAGCCAACTTTTGTTGTTTCACTTCGACGAGGGGGGGGATTTATCGCCGGAGAAAAGGGGGTCGAGGGTGGCGACCAGCCGGCGGTATGCACTGAAAACGTCATCTTGGACCGAATAAATCTGTTCCTGATACCGAGCTGATTTATTAAAGATCAAATTTATTCCGAAAAAGAAAATCGGACGGCCGTTGGCCCGGGAATAAATCCGCATACGGAGAATCGGAAATTCTGATAAACCGCCCTTTCTTGCCGGGCGACATTTCCCGCCATTTGCTATATCCCGTCTGCAGTAACTAAAATTTATTATAAACTAGACAAGATTAAAAAAAAAAGTTCACT